GTGATTTGTATTAATTTATGATTTGAAAGAGTAATTTATCCTGCTTTTTTTTAATGGGTGAATATGTCCCTACAGATATTTTTTAAAGGTGGATTTGAGGGTTTTGCCTTCTCTTTAATCAACTTTAGTTGATTTAATTTTTAATTTAGAAAAATTTTAATTTGAAATGTTTAAAATTAATTATTTAATTTTTATTTTAAAAATATTATTTAATATGTTTATTCTTATTTTATTATTATTTTAATAAAATAAGTACTTCCTACATTTAACCTTATAATATCTTTGGATTAAAGAAAATAAAAAGAAGGGGAGGAAAAAATTTTTTTATTTTATTTTTTCCTTTAATTTAATTATTTATCTAAATAATGGGAGGGAGATGAGGGTAAAGGAGAAAAATGAAAGGATATAATTTTTTTTCTTATACCTTCATTTTTCTTAATCTAAATATAGGGTCAGTAGATTCAATTTATAATTTAGAGTATTTAAATTTAGTTGTTTATTTTTTTAATATGTCAATTAATGCATTTATTTTTATATTATCTTTTTTAAAAAGATAATTATAACATATATAAATAAAAAGTCATATTTAATTAGTAATTATAATAATTAAAAATAAAAATAAAATTTGATCAATTAATTATTATATCTTTGTTTTATTAAGAAATTTAAACCTATCAAAGTTGAATTAAAGGAGTATAACATATATTATAAGAAGTAAAAGTACATATCTAAATAGTAGTCTATAAATATGAAATTTTGTCTATTAATTATTATATTTTTTATTTTATTAGAGAAAATAGTTATGCTAATTCTAACATTTCTAAAAAAAAATCAATTAATTTTGTCCATTTTAATATTGAAACGTAATTGAGAGTCTAATTAAGGATATGTTTGGAATCATCACATAAAAAATGCTATGTTTGAAATTGTTGTGTATTAATGGTTAAAAATAACCACCGAAAGTAACTTTAAAAAATAAAGAAAATATTAAAAGTAGAAGATAATAGAATTATTAATATGTTTTTAAAATCCTACCAATATTTTTGTCTCCAGCATTTCTTATAATATAAAATTCCTAAAAATTTGGGGAACACAGAAAATTCAAAAGCACTCAATCCAAACAGTACCTAAACCAAAAATAGGGGTCGCGAAATCAAAATTGGACAAGGAAAGTGTGGGTGGGCCAACGTAGAACGTTGCAGATCAGAGGGCAGAGCCGTAGAGGGCCGGGGGCCCAATAAAAAAAAGAGGAAAAAAACCAAAAAGAAAAAGAAAAAAAAAAAAGCTAAGGCCGTTATCTTCCCGCGAAACGCTTCTCCAATCCCCTCCACGTTTACTCAATAATGGCGTCAATTTCAGCTGTCGCTTCTCTGCCGCAATCGCCGACGTTATCCGCCGGAAAAACTTCATCCACGGTACGTCATCGTCTTCCCACCCTTCCATCCTCCTCATATTCCCTTTACTCACGTTACCACTTCCTTACCGCACGATGATTTGATAATTGCGTCTCTCATCAGAGATGGCGGCGTGGGCCAATGGCCATACACTCTGCTCTTCATCAGCAAGTTCAAAATTCCTCTGATTCTACGTTACGCGGTTGGTCAATTGTAAATTAAATGCTTGATTGGTTCCCAATTTGATCTCTTTTGGGGGTTGGATTTTTGAGGGTTTTAAGGCTTTCTTTTTTCTTTCTCTTGTTTTGATAGGGGAAAGAAGTCTGGTAATTGAGCGAAGAAAAGTGGTGGTAGCAGCATTAGGGTTTGCAGCTGGAGCACTGTGGCGTTCTTCAATAGAAGATGGAACAGCCACCGCAGCTGAATTTACCGATAGTAATTTCCGCTTGAAATTTCACTGCCTTCGCTGCTCTCAATTCATTTGTTCTTGTTGATGCATTTCAAGTTTTCACAATGATTTGTTTGTTTTCCACTGTGGTTCAACAAACAGTGCCAGCACTTCGGGGGAAGGATTATGGAAAAACAAAGATGAAGTTTCCAGACTATACAGAGACTGAATCAGGTCTTCAATACAAGGTTGTCTCTTGAGAAGCACATTTTAGAAAAATTTCATCTTTTTGTGTGGCACAACTCGTAGTTAAATCATTTATCTTTTTTCCTAGTTAAAATTTGATTATAATGCAGGACTTACGAGTAGGAGATGGTCCCAAACCAAAGATGGGAGAAACAGTCGTGGTAAGGCAACAATTTATGAATCGATGTCTTGCAGATTATATAGCTGGTACTCCTAAGTCAGCCAAATTTTAGATCTCAAATAACTCTTCAATTTAGAAATGGTTCTCAATAGAACAATTTGTTCTTCTTACTGGATCTAAAACTCTTCCTAATTAGGTATTTTATTGCGAACAGAGGTTTGGATGGTTTGCCCCACTCCCAGAAGTGGGGAAAAATCTGAACAAAGTAAACACCAGAGAAGAGAGTTTTAGGAAGCAACATGGAAAAGCTAGAGCATATTTGATGGAATTGTAACCTAAAGAAACTTTCAGACAGCCGATTTTCTAAGTACAGTTACCAGATAGCCTAGAGATAATCATTAAAATAACAAGTGAAGTCTCTGTTTGAAAACCTAGTCATGGGTGTTTGATAGGTCAGAAAAAGGTAATAAATGACAATGAAAGATATTGACATTTCAGTGTGTGATTATTTTATCTCAAAGTTATAGTAGTTCAAGCAATTTGAAGTATAAATGTTTCTGTAGGTTGATTGGGACGGGTACACCATAGGATACTATGGCCGTATATTTGAAGCTCGAAACAAGACAAAGGGTGGCTCCTTTGAGGTAAGGAGTGAGTTAATGCTTCTCATCTTAATCTTGGAGATCATTCTATACTACTTACAATATATCTCCTTCTTCCTTTTTTTTTCTTTCTATTTATTTATTTATTATTATTATTTTTTTTGTCTTTTGTGATACACAGGGGGACGACAAAGATTTCTTCAAATTTAGACTAGGATCACAAGAGGTGAGCTGTTATTTTTTCTCCATTCACGAGATTTAAATATGTCGTCCTTATAACTCAGGAATGAAGCACAAATATTTTAGTTCTATTTGTTCTAGATTTTATGCTCTAGAAGTATTTACTCTAACAATTTATCTCTGCCAGGAATGTTCATGCTCGTCCCTGGTCCACAGTGTTACTGAAGCTGTTAATACTTTAAAATGTATACACTTTAAATGGCATATTCAGTTTAGAGATAATGTCAGAGATACTTCTAGTTGGTTACATGTCTAGTACAACTGCTTAATGTAGCCATACAAATTGGATAACCTAGGAGAAAAGAATTAATGTGGCTGCCTGCTTCTTATAATTCAGGTAATTCCAGCTTTTGAGGAAGCTGTTTCAGGAATGGCTCTGGGAGGCATTAGGAGGTGCTTCTTCTGCTTTTCTGAAATAAATAATATTGTTTCAAGCTTCTGTCTAGTTTTTCTGGATAACAGCATTGCCTGTCCAAGAGTATCTGTTGATAACAATGCAGTGTATATGAACCTAGTGTGTGCCCAGTGCTCTAAGCATAAACATAGCTTGTATCCAAAGTGCATTCCAGCAGTCCTTCTCTGTTCTTTGGGGAAACTGTAAAACTTCGAGACCTAGTTTACTGCCAGAGCACAACCTGTTTCTCTGGATCTTAATAAGGAATTCAGAATCAAACCCTTGTTTCTGTCTTTGTATGAATATGGTATGTCAATTTCACGGTTTACTTCACAGTGATGCAGGATCATAGTGCCCCCAGAACTAGGATATCCTGGAAATGACTATAACAGAAGTGGTCCAAGGCCAACAACCTTCTCGGTAAAATTCAAGTCCTTTTGCTGATTCTTGTATTATAGGTTTTTCGAAGTTGTGCTATCTAACTACTTTTGCAGGGCCAACGGGCTTTGGATTTTGTGCTGAGGAACCAAGGGTTGATAGACAAGACTTTGCTGTTTGATATTGAACTCCTTAAAATCATACCAAACTGATCTTTCATTGAAGTCTTTATATCTTAATCTCTATCTTGAGGTTTGGATCTTTACCCATTTTGTCTTTCTTAACAGGAAAAGGTCTTTCAAATGATTATTTATGAGTTGCCTGTTTCTTTCTTCCAGGGAGGTGAATTTAATCTGGCATCAATGGGACCATATTGCAAAACACCAGATTGGCAGAAGCTAAAGAACCTAGGTGGAGGGTTTCTTTCATGAAGCTAGAGAAGGCAGTGTTCTGTTGGATAATTTTCATGCTATATTCTTGAGATGAAGTATCAAGATTTAGCTGCTAATTTTTTTCTTGTATTCCCTGTTCTAGCCTACCGAAAAAATGGTCTAAAGATGGGTTAGATTTACCATTGTCCAAATTTTGTTATTCCAAATCCCTACATCAGCGTTAAAAGTTTACAATGTATCATAAGAGATGGCTTATATATTGATATTGCTGGTATGGTAATGAATGAGCAATGTGTTGCATTTGTATTCTCAACGTATAATGGAGATTTGAAGACAAATTAGCCTGATGATGGATAAGAAGAAGCACGTCTTAGAGATATAATGGTTTCTATATTTATATTGCTGGTAATGAATAAGCAATGCCTCATGCTTTTTACTGATAACAAGCTGAAGCCCGTCTTAGCGATACTCGTATGATTTATATTCAGAACAAAAGAACTTTCATTGCACCAAAAAAGGAGTTCAACACAAATCCATAGCTCTATCAAGTTAAAAACTCAGAAAACCAAACACTTCTACTAGCCATGGCAGTCATTAAAGATATATGAAACATAGACAAAGGCCAGGAAACACAAGAGCATAAAGAAACCAGTACGAGGACCAAAAACAACCTAAAGAACAAAAACTAAAACTTATAGTTGCTTGCCCATGGACCTTACCCACCTAATTAACAGAAAGTTGTCGTCGCTTGTACCGCACCATCACCTTTCCTTTAACACCAACCACCATAGCATTCCAGTCAATCTCAGGAAAAGGTGACACCAGTTCCAGTTCAAAATTCCTCAGCAAATGGCTCCATATAGCCTTTATTTGCAGATAAGCAAATGGTTCACCAAGGCACCCATGCCTGCCGCCTCCAAATGAAATATACGAGAAAGGCCCAGCCACTTTATCTTCTTCCCTTCCAACAGCAAATCTGTCAGGATCATACCTGTCTGGATCCTTATAGATATGGGGAAGTCTGTTTGCAAATGCTGGTGATGTTGCAACTATGTAACCCTTTGGGATGTC